ATATTTTAGGATTTGTAACAGGTACAATTGTAAACGACTGCGATGCCTCATAGCCACATACTGGGCTCACTGGAGAGATGGTAATGGAAGAGCAGTTACCATTTCAAATGATGTGAATTAGTGGAAAAAAACCCCTTATTTTTATACATAGCTCTTGCAGGGCTTACAGCTTGTCTAGTAGATAACTATTTCATTTAATAATTACTTTTGTGGGAAGTAAAATAATTACCTCAGAGACAATCTCTTAACTCATGATGATAAAGTAAATGTTCTCAAAGTTCCTGGTTAGAAAAAAATAACAGTGTCTTCAATTTCAGGTGGGAATCACACACACACACACACACACACACCCCCACACCCCTTCCAGATCAACCCTTCCAGATCTTCCTTTCTGTTAGGAAAAGATATTTATCTGGAAGCTCTAGAAGAAGGGCAACAGCAGAAAAACAAGTGTTGGGATGACTACGGCAACAGTATCTCAATCCACACCGATTTTCATGCATATATAAGATAATGAATCATTTCTGCTTAAACAGCAAAACTCTGAAGTATAAGAGTACACAATAAACAGATTGGGTTTGAGCTCTGAATGAAACTTTTTGTGTATGTTCATTCTTAATATTATTTATACTTCCACTACACTTGTACCAGGAGACTGCAAAAACCTGGAGCCCCACAGTCCTCGGCACTAGAAACGCAAATGGCAAGAGACAGCCCTTTCCCCACCCCCACTGAAGGACTCTGTCTAATTACAGACCAGCAGGCAGGTGAAAGGTCATCACACTATCTTCATTTCACAGACAGGGAACTTTGGTATGGAGTGATACATGGATGGACATGTCCAAAGCCACTTAGAGATCCTCTGCAGAGGTGGGAACTGAGCTGAGAACCCTCATCTGTCATTAAAAAAAAAAAAATGCTTCTCTCTGTGCAGTCCCTCTCTTCCAATGCACTGTTAGGTAATTGTTTTCCACTTAAAGTCTTCTTGTCAGATCCTCTGCATAGAAATCAAAAGTATTCCACTTCAGTTGCTCCACTCGCTCGTTCTCTTAGGTAATTTCTGGGTGACTTTGAAAGCTCTATAGTTCTTTCCAGCCACACTAAAGTAGAGATGCATCTAAACCATGTTCCAGATCCAGGCTCAGACTTCTGCAGGAGGCTGAGATTTGCAGACAGTTTCCAGTGTATGAACACCTTAAATAAAACCCAGCCAAATCTCCCTGTATTCGTTCTTCTAACTACTGTTCCCTTGCTCATCAGCCATCTGCTATGACCCAGCACCGCCACAACCCTCCCAGAGGCCACTGAAATCAGTACATCGGGACATGCTCTGCACATACCAGGAGATGTTTAACATCACACAGTCCCAGTGCACCTCAATCTCTTGTAGTTCTAGCTCCTTCTGCTCTACAAGCTTATCAGCCACTTTCCTACATTTACATTCAGAAACTATTTTCATTCCCCTTCATGCTTCTGGCACTTTCAAAATATCTTCACTTGTGTTGTCTCCTCACTTCTTGTCTTGTCTTTTCTTGGGACTTCTGCAACTCTTCACCATTCTGCTTCTCCAACATCTCCCTCACAGCTCTTCTCTGGCAGCATTCAGAGCTCAGCCCTGATTTCTCTTTTATCCCTCTTTTATGAGGTGACTCATACCTTTCTACACTTGACCTCTCCCTCTCAGTTCAGTCTACCATGTCTGATTGCCTCTCTGGCATCCTGTCTTGGGACCACTCAAGCTTCACAGGATGAAACCACACACCTCATTCTTCTCTCACATACAGTTTCACTACTTCTCCATTTCCAACACCATTTCTACTGTTCTGTCATCCAAACTCATGGTACTGGTGCCTCATACACCCCTCTCTCTGTTTTCTATTTTCCAGCTAAATTAGCACTAAATATGTCCATTCCTTTCAGTTCAATGGTTAACGCATCTCCCACTTCCATCTGCACTACTGCAACCTCCTGCTTCTCTTTGAGCTTCTCACTTCTTATATTCACCTCATCAGAATGCTGCATCCACATAAACTCCCTTTATCCTTACTTCAGTGAGCCCATCTGCATATCCAAATTCCTTCACCAACTTCTCTCCAAGTTACACGACCTCCCTTCCAAGATCTCATACAACTCAGCACCTGCCTCCATCTTTTCCTTTGGTTTCACAGCTCTCTCTTCTGTTATTCTCCTAGTCATGACTTTTGGTAGATTAGTTAGTGGTCTTTGAAGGATTTCCCTCGGTTTCAGCATGAATTTTCCTTTTCCAGTTCTGCCAGTGTAGTAGTATAATGAGAATACAGTGTCAGACAATGATTAGAACCCAGGACTCATAACTGGATTTGGAGGGTATTTCAGCATTAAATCAATGTATCCCACTGTCCTGCCTATGCTATAAGGACTGAATCCAGGTCTTTGTACATGATTCCAACAAATACAACAGTCACTCAGGTCACAGGACCCATAGGGTGCTTTTGGGTCCACTACTGCCATTTCAGGCCTGCAAGACCATGTGTAAACTATATATAGGTTTGAATAGGAGGGTGGGGATGTCCACATTGCAAAGTACTAGGTGATCCCCTTTCTGGGTGCTTTTTAGGCTGGGCAACTGTAAGGATGACGGACATCTCAAGATGCCTACAGGTTTCTCTGTACTTGGGCTGGTAATTTCAGTTCATTATATCATCCTTTCCCTCCAAACCCCAAAGGTCTAGAACAGGTATTAACCAGGGAAAAATTTCCATCCTTTCCCTCCAAACCCCAAAGGTCTAGAACAGGTATTAACCAGGGAAAAATTGCCATTTTTCAGTCCTGAAAAATGTGTCAAACTAGTGAGAGTGCTCAGCCAGCATAGCTAGGACTACAGTTCCTTTACTTTCTGAAAGAAACTCATAGCTGTGCATGCTGGTGGGAAAGAAAGGATTAAGGCTGTACCAGTACTACATACTTTTTAAATGATGACCATAAAAGTTATTTGCAGGAGGTGGAATGAAATCCTACCCCAAAGAAGGAGGAGGTGAAAACGGACTGATGAGATGCTCTGGAAGCCTGCTGGCTGGAAGCATCTCTGCTCTGTTCTTTGCCTCTCTAGGGTTAGCAGATTATCTGCTGTCAAGAAGCATACCCTCCCCTCAGAGTATCTAATGGTCTGAAGCTAAATAATCAAACATAAAAAAGGAAATAAAGTCCTTAAATACATACCTATTAGTCTATTAAGAGGTAGAAGTACCTGGAGTTATACATTCATAAGCAACCATGCATACACACGTGTGGATTAAAAGGGAGGAAAGCAATGTTCTGTTCTTACCGTGCTAAGATTTCAAGTACAAGGTTGCAAAAAAAGCCCAGTAAAAGATGATAATGCAATTGAATTTTAGGTCAATTCAATTAATCTAGGAAAGCATATTTTTAACAAATGGCTTCTTTTGCTTTTAAGGATAAATGAACCACACTAATAGTGTAAAATACCCACTGCTGCTGCTGCACGTAGCCTTTCATTTAATATCTGTGGGGCTTGCTATCACGAGCACCACGTAAGAGGAAAGAAAACACTCAACATTTTGCACAGTGTTAATCAGATTCTTCCCTCTGCTGTAGTGGCATAAGCAGTAAGAGTGCTTAACCCACTGTGGGTTTCCAAGCTTCTCAGGCTATCCTCTCCGTTTTTGCTGAAAGCAATTCCATTCAGCTTTAGCTGCTTTTTAATCAAAGGAAACTATCACCACACTATCAGGATGTTAATTCTGAAGAGACATTAGCAAAACCACAGTCACTTCATTAAACTGCAGACCTGTGGTGGGCAAAGGACCGTCAGATCCCAAATAATATTTTGTTCTCTGCATAGAACAAACAAAAGCAGCTTTTGTTAATTAAAATTAACAATAACAATAACAATAACAATAACAATAACAATAACAATAATAATAATAATAATAATATCGGCCTCAGTGACAAAAGCTGAAAAATGAAGTGCCAACAACTACGAGAACCTCAGCTCAGAAAAGGATAGCAATTTCATATTCACATTTATCACAAAAAAAGCCTTTCCCTGACCTTCAGAAAATGAGATCTGTCTACCACATCAGTTAACAGGGAGTCCTATGTCAAGTGCCTCGGTCTTAAGTAACATGTAAAAACCACACAGTAAAACAAAGTAATACAACATTGAACAAGAATGTGGGGTAACATCTGTGAGACTGTTTTTTGCCTCAATGCTTTTATGCTTCTTTTAGTTCCCAGCTTCTCTTAATTGCCGACTTTGGCAAAATCCAAATAATTTGGCAAAATCCAAATAATCTGTCATTTTTGCCTTCAAGTATTTACATTCTCAGAAACATAAAAAGGATATACTTACCTGTAGCAACACCTGTGATCAATTACACCGTCCCTCTCTGAATACCCTCTGGAGGTTTTGCTCAGTCCCAAAAGGAGAGGGGGAAGGGATGAGAACGGTTGTCTGATGAAAAGCACTATATTAAATTAAAAAAACCCCAACAATTTCCCCCATGCATTTGACAGCATGGTGAAAAATCACACTAGCTGGATTCCAGGTAAACCAGTCCTTCCGAATACTGAGTTGAGTCAAGCAAACTCTATCGGAGCACAACGAGGAAAAAGTTGATGTCTCGAGGCAGAAAACCCTGATCTAAAATTCACACGAACGGTAACCAAACGCAATCGATACACACAGCGATTTCTATAGCAACTAGGGGGAAAAAAAGAAAAAAAAAAGAAAAAAAGAGAGTTTGTTCCTTAACTATAAGCACAGAGAGTCTGTGGCAAATGAGGGGACCTGTCCCTCTTGGCATCTCTCTGATCGACGCGCTGAATCGATGCCCAGTGCATTCCTCCCGCGCTCCCTTTCCTCTTGCCCTGGGATCCTGTGGAGGGGCGAGCTGAGCATCCCAGCCTGCGATGGGAGCACACCCATGGACACACACCCCCCGGCCAAGCACACGCGCTCCCCTGCCTCTCTCTTACACCCACAGCACCTCAGCACTCACCGTCACGGGCTTCCTCCCCGCGACTGCAGTTGCTGCAAATGTGTTTGATCTCCTTGCCTATGTGACAGTGTATCACAAAAGAGACATTGTTGTTAGTGCTGGTGGTGGTGGTGGTGACGGGTTCCTTCAGTGGCTTCATCCTCACTAGATAGAAAGCTTTCTTTTTAGGTTTCTCTCCACTCATGTCTGACATTGAGTCCTGCCTGCAGCCAGAGGAAGAAAAAGCGAGCATCCAGGCTGCCCGGTGTGCGCACGATCCGCCAACCGCTCCCTCTCGGCTCAGCCT